CTCCCTGTCACCGCCTTTCGGAGCGGGAGCGGGTCGGGGCGCGCCCCGCCCGCGCCTCAGTTTCCCTTCCATAGCGCGGCGAGCTGAGGCTGGGGGATCCGAGGGCGCCGAGAGCAGAGGAAAAGGCCGAGGCCGACGCCCGAAGCCGGCAGCGCTCCCGGAGCCCCTCCACCTGCTGTCGCGCGGCCAGTCTGGAGCAGATTAGGAAACTGGGCTGGGTCTCGGGTGCACCAGATGTGGCTGGGGACTGGAACGCGCCCCTTGTCCCGGGGAAGGACCCTTCCTTGCTCCCGTCCTTTGAGACCGCCTCTCTTCACCGTGCGCTCGGGAAAGAACTGCAGGTTTGCAGGGCAGTTTGCAGCGTGGGAAACTGAGGCAGGAGGGGCAGGGAGCTGGTTGTGGCCTAGTGGTGGGCCGGGGAGGAAGCGGGGGGCCGGCCGGGCGGGAGCCTCCAGGACTACTCCCAGCCAGACTGCGCTGAGCACGGCTGGGTGCTGCAGGCCCCAGGCTGCCCTGGCGCAACGAAACCCGGGTCCCGCGCACACCCGGAGGGACGGGGCGGGGTGGGCGCCCCCTGCACCACGCAGCGCCCGGGCCCCCCGCCGGCCTTTTAATACCCTGGAGTCTGCTGCGCTGAAGGTAGGCGCCTCTGATGACTAAAAATGTAAATATATATTTCATTCCAAGCGCTCTGGTGGGGCCGGGAGAGGGGCGCGCAGGGCGCACGGTCAGGTTGCCCGAGGCCCCTCGGCACTCGCGGGATCTCCAGGCGCGGTCGCCGCCCAGGGTTAGGGGCGCTGTCTTTGCAAAGCCTGAGCTGGCGGGTTCCATGACCGGAAATGTCCAGGCCTTGACCCGAAGGACAGGCCCAGGACAACGCCGCTATCCAGACCTGGAGACCCAGGTGCCAGCCCCGGTGAGGCCCTGGGGCCTGGGGACAGCCACATGCAGGTGGGTCGTAAATGTGGCCTAGAGCGGGGCTCAGTGGTTCGGGGCAGGCTGAGCTGGGGCCCGATCAACTTGCCCAACCTTTCGGAGAATCCACCTTGAGGGGAAGGGGAGGGCTGTGAGTCCCTGCCTCCAAGCCAGCTCCCCTTCCTTGTCCTTTCGGGTGGGGAAGAGTTGTGAGGACTGAGGAAGGGGTGTTGAAGTTTCATCCGATAGAATCTGCAAGCTCGGTCCGGAGGGGAGCTGGGCCATCCACTTGATTTAATAAACCTCTCTGTGCTCTCCTCACTGCAGTTGGTGCCTCAGTCTCCGCTTCTGCCTCTGGAGCTCCCAAGCTTGGGAGGGAAGACAGTTACTAGGCTGCCTCCCCCATCCTGCTGAGGTCAGGACTGGACTGGGTGTATGTGTGGGGGTGGGGGTAAGCAATCTCTCCCTTCCTGGAGGTGGGAGACCCAGAGGTTGGGTTTTGCAGGATGTGTAGGAGTTGAGGTCAGATAGGTAAATCAGGGGAAGAAAAGACTCCTTGTCATTTGGAGGGGCAGGTGAAGTGGGGGCAGGAGTCTGGCATCAGCCCAATCTCAGGCACCTTGGAGGCCTTCATTAGGAAATATTTGTTGAGTGAGTTGATTAGATAATGCTGGGAAACAAAGCTGAAAGCCAGGCCTTGAATGCCAGGCTGAAGGAGGGGGGTGTCAGGCTTTCTTCGTCTGTCTGTCTGTCTGTGGGGGGGGAGCTGTTTGTTCCTGAGCCCAAAAGTGAGTCACAGAGTGCAGTGTGGGAAGGAGGAAAGGTTTTCCCCTCCGTTCAGTCCAGGGCCCTCTTTCTCCCTGGTGTGTGTGTGGCGGGGGGGCAACACCCCTTACAGTTCCCCTCCCAATTTTGTATCTCAACTCTGCCTGGCAGGGAGCCACTCGGAGAAGCCTGCTGATTCCATTTGTCAGGTGAGGGAACTGAGGCTCAAGTTGCTTCTGATGCACTCCAGGCCTCCACCTGACCTCCAGGCCTGGGGACTGGGTGGCCCAGTGCCAGGTCTGCCTCAGACACAGTGGGTCCCGTTTGGGGGGCCAGCAGCAGTGCTGAATCCCAGGGAGGGGATGAGTGTCCCCGGACAGCCCCAGGGCACACAGGACTCCCAGACCCAGGCCAGGAGACAGGAAGCCCAGGCTCTTGGATCCCCTCCCACCCCTGCCACCAGCGGTCAGGTGAGGTGTTGGGACTCCTGGAGGCAGTGGGCAGGCACTGGGAGGTGGCTCTTCCTACCTCCCCTCCTGCTCTAAGTGCTGTCCCAGCCCCTTAGCCCCTTCCCTGACAGGCTCCCCTAAGTCCCTCCTGTCCCTCCCCTGCCTTCCACCTCCTCTGCATTTGAACAAAGCCACTCTCCAGCACTCCCAGTTTAGGAGGTGAGGTCCCCAAGCTCCAGGTGAGAGGACAAGGGGAGAGGTCACAGGACACTGCCCTTCTGTTTGTCACAGGCCAGTTAGGAGGGTCCCCTGGGGGGTCTCTTGGGGTCACAGCACTGGCGCAAAAAGAGGAACTGGACAGACCCCGAGCCGTCATCTGACCAAGCCTCTGTTTGTTTTATGGATGGGGAAACTGAGGCAGGCCCCAGTGCACATGTTTCTTTCCTGCCCTGAACAATTAGACCTTCAGAGCTGAGAGGACAGCACGTAAATGATGGGGGACATGCACACAGATGTCAGTGGGTCTCCAGTCTGCATCGTCATTTCACAGGTGGGGGACTGGCCTGGCTTCCGTGCTGGCCATGGAGGCTGCTGCCATGCCAGCCCTTTCTCATGCTATCCCCTGCAGGTTCCTCAGAGAGTCCCTGTACCAGCGGCTTTGTCCTCACAAGGTTAAGCACAGGTGCCAGATTTGCAAAATCCCCTTGCCCACAGCAGTGACCTTTCTGGGGCCTCAGTTTTCCCATTTGTGGGACAGGGATAAAAGCAGATTGTCAGTGCCTGCTCCAGGACGCCGGAAACGCCAGGAAGGGCCCAGTGACAGGCAGAGCCCTGGAGCTGTCCAAGCAGCAGGAGTGGGTGGTGAGGGAGAGTGGGCAGAGGCGCCTGGGAAGCAGAGGCAGGGAAGATGGGCGGGGAGGGGGGAGGGGAGGAGGACAAGGAGGACCTGCCTCCCTCAGGAGGCCCCCACCCAGAAGGATTGATCTTCCCATCGATCCTGGGGGAGCTGGAGCCAGGGCTGGCTGGGCGCTGGGTGGAGGGAAGAGGGTGGAGGCCGGCAGAGGGGAAGGGAGGCCCTGCTCACCAGACCCTGGAGCTGGGTCCCCGGGCTGGAGGAGGGGCAGCTCTAGGCACCTGGCTGAGCAGCTCTCTTTCCTGGTGCTCAGACTTCCCTGGGCTCAGCCCAGCCACAGCAGAGACTGGCATGGGTAGGGCCTGGGCTGAGCATCTTTCCTTTATTCTGAGACTGAGTCTCACTGGGTTGCTAAATCACCAGGCTGAGCTGGAACTTGAGATCCTCCTGCCTCAGCCTCCCTGAGGATAACAGATGTGTGCCCGCCATCAAGCCTTGCGAAGCCCAGTGGGAACCAGGAACCAGGGCTCAGTGTCCCCACTGCTGAGAGGGACGTGCTGTGTACCTGAGCACCTACTATGGATGGGCAGCTTTGCTGGTAACTGGGGCCCTGAGAGGCATGGTTTGGTGTGATCCAGTGGCCCCGTCCACCTTCTCAAACCAGGAGCATCTGTTCGGGCTGAGCCGCGGCTGAGGCCTGGCTGGACTGAATGCTGGAGACACCTGGTTCCCTGAAACAGCACTTGGGCTCTGGCTGCCGGTCTATGTGTGGTGGGCTTGTGCTTGGGGACAGTTGTTTGTGCTGCTGATGGGTCCCCCTGGGGTCCTTGTCTGGCTGGTCCCTTCAGCTAGGTCAGGGGCTGCTTCTCTGGTTCCTGCTACGTGTGCTTTAATTCAAGGCAGGTTGTTGTGCTCCGATTTCCAATTTAGGAGAGAGGTCCAGAAAGGTTGGGGCAGAAGGATCACAAAGCAGCCAGACAGAGAGAGAAAATAAATTAGAATTGAGGGTGACAGAAGAGGAAGCTCAAAGGAAAGTCCGTCTCCAAAGTCCACAGCAGTTAGTTCTGAACTCTTGCCCCACAGCAGCTTCAGGTTTTTTGCTTTTTTTGTTTGTTTGTTTGTCTTTTGTTTTTTGAGACAGGGTCACACTATGTAGTTGAGACTGACCTGGAACTCACTGTGTAGCCCAGGCTGGTCTCAAACTCGAGGCAATCCTCCTACCTCAGCCTCCCTAGTGCTGGGATTACAGGTGTGCGCCACCACGCCCGGCTGGACCTTCAGTTTTCACTCTGAGCTTCCTAGTAAGCCAAGCAAAAAGAGAAACACTGTGGCCGTGGCCGTATCTCTGCCCATGCACGTTTTTTTGACTCTTTGCACTTGTGCAGGCGGCTGCACCACTGAGCTAAATCCCTGGCCCTCTTTCTTTCTTATTTTTGATTGGCTTTTACTATGTAGCCAGAGCAGTCTTTGAACTTGTTTTTCTCCTGCCTCAGCCTTCCGAGTGAGGGGATTACAGGTGTGTGTGCCACCACACCCAGCTTGGTGGCTGACAGAATTCTAAAATGGCCCCCTGGTGGATTCATCCTGGTCAGTCCCCTCCCCTCCAGATGTGGCTGAGGTGCTGTGGGAATGACCTGGTTCCTCCTGCCTCAGCCTTCCGAGTGAGGGGATTACAGGTGTGTGTGCCACCACACCCAGCTTGGTGGCTGACAGAATTCTAAAATGGCCCCCTGGTGGATTCATCCTGGTCAGTCCCCTCCCCTCCAGATGTGGCGCAGGTGCTGTGGGATCACTTTCATGATTCCTTTGAGTCACACAATCGGGGAGCCTCTATATCTTCGGGTGTAACCCATCACGGGCTAAAAATATTTGGGGGAAAACTGCATATGACCTAAAAGTGTACTGACTTTTTCTTGTTATCCCCTAAATGATATGGTGTCAGGACTGCAGACACAGCATTGATGTCACACTTTGTAATCTAAGTCACCTAGAGATTTAAATATTGTGGGAAGCTAGGTACGGTGGCACACACATGTCATTCCAACACTCTGGGAGGCTGAGGCAGGAGGATCTCGAGTTCTAGCCCAGCCTGGGCGACTTAGTGACTTAGTGGGACCCTGTCTCAAAAAAAAAAA